ATTGAGATTAAACTTGTTCTTTGTCTTTCATCCGTGGTCTTGTGGTCGTTCCTGCGTCCTGCCCGAGTTGGCTCACACAAATACTAAATACAGTTTTTGCACTGATACAGTTTTCCTGGTGCATTAAAAATACACTTAAGAAATACAATCCAGGAAAAGCATGGCAGAACTGGAGAAAAGGGAAAAAATCTTCCTATGATTGTAGGTGGCTCTCCTCCTCTGAAGCAGCTGCTGTCTGAAATAGTTTTCAAAGAACCTTCTCCTTACCTCTGTGCTGAATGAACCTATAGAAAAACCTGGCACGAGCTTGATTTGAAATGAAATAACTCCCATTTTGGAGTGGACTGTGTGATGAAGACGTAGTTATAAAATAAATAATGATTCAGCTCTAACTTTCAATTTTGTCCTTATTAAGTTGCTCAACCAGGTGTTGAAGCCAATAGAATTTGCTTTTCCTCTGTTGGAAAGCTATTCTGAGTGCAGCGTGACTGAAGAACAGCCACTTATTAGCTGCTCAGCAGTGCTCTCGGCTTTTCTGCTAGAATCCCCCACAATTGCTCGAACAACACTTTTGCCAATACTCATCTAGCTCAATCAGTAGCTATAACGCTGGGGTATGAAATTATGCGGTGGTTGTGATGGTGGTAAGTTGCCTGCTGTTTAACATCTCTGTTTCATGGCCTGGTGTCGGGAGGGATGCAACACTGATTTTGAGCTTCAGTTTGTATTCAATTCTTTCTCTCTTCAGTCTATCCGATTGAATTCCCTTGTAGTTTCAGTACAGTGTGCATCCTAGCTGAAATTCCTGGGTAATGTTGTTGTGTGCTGCTATGGAGTTGCCATGTTTCATGCTGGAGCTCTCTTTCCATTGTGATGAGGGATGTAATCCTTCTGCACCCCACCTGTATTGTGAGGATTGTTTAAAGTTTGCAGTGCACTGTGAGTACCTTGCATGCTATTGAAATGGAAATTATTGTGTGTTACAGCCAGTCTGAATGCCACCTGGTATTTCCATGTTATTGTTTCAGCTTTGTTGTACCTTACCAAGCTTGAGCTGGTACCACGAACAAAAGATTAGCATTGCACTCCGTTGTGTGTTTGTTGCTGTGTCCAGTGCCTGTGTAAGGCCATGTACATCCTGAGAAGCTATGCTCAGCACACTAGGACTCCAAGGGCTTTTCTGTAGCTTGAAGCCTGAAACATTCCTTTCCTTTTTCTGCACTTCTACTTTGGTATGGGCTGGATCCACAGAGCAGTGGATCCCTTTGGCCTTTTCCACTGTCACCATTGCCTGCTATTAACTTCAAGTGAGCTTTGGGAGACTGCATAAGAAATTATGGTGGAATTGGGCTCTGCATTTTGTAAAAGATGCTTTTTCCCGTGCAACAGAATTGCACCTTTGTGTGGCATCTAAAGACCTATGGGGACATGGTGAAAAGGGCTGATCTTGCCTGAGACCCAAGCCAGTGGTGTAAGTGATGCATAGCCATCCCACAATATTCTTGCATGCTTGTAACACCTACAAAACTTAACCCAAAACCTGTTTTGCTAGTTCACTCTGAGATCCTTCTTCAATCTCTGCAGGGCCAGATTCATATCTCTGAACTAAGCAAATCACAGCTGTGATTTGCTACTCTGCTTTTATGCACCAGCTTTAGTTCAGCTAAGAGTGCATTTTAAAACACATTCCTGTAACTTCACTATCTTTGTACTCCACAATAAACAAATGGGGTTTAAATGATTGTGGGAACTCCCGCAGTATCGTGACAGGTACTCATTACTGACAGAAAAAGATGGCATAAAATGTAACCACCCAATTCACCTGTGAGTTTTCCCCAGGAAAGAGATCAGCTAAAAAACAGTTTGAAGTTCCCTTCCTAACTGAAGGATTCTATTATGTATGATAGCTAAATAAACTGTGAGGCTTGACCTTCCTAAAAGGGCACTATTAAAGAGGTACAAATGTAGTCCTCTCACCACACTAATTACTGCTGTTTACATTTTTGTAAATCTAACAGGTTTCCGTTTTAGAGTTAGATCCCAAAGCTGAGTGCTAAATAAACGCCTACCAAAAGGGCCAGCTGGGAAAAGTGATGCTGATCCTCACTGCCTCCAGTATCAGACTCTCTTCAACCTTTGAAGTGTCGCTTCTGGTTTTGTGAACAAGCACAAAATTAATTTGGCAGGAATTCTGCTTCAGTGAGGACAGCACCATGTACATTACTCTCCTTCTCCTCTACTCCCCCTCATGAGACGTTAGTTTCAGTTTTTATGAAGAAAAGCATAGGTGGTATCTACACTTTCAAACTCTGGAGCCATCCTAGGGAGCAATTTCTATTTGATAATTTTCAAGTAACCACATCTCCAACCTGCTGTCCAATTCCAATCAATTTTTACTTAATGTCCTCAGAGATATTAAGCTCTTAGAAATTTCGTAATAGGCAACTGGTTACAGAAAAGAAACCGTATTTAGTGACCCCACTAGGCAAAGGTTTCAGCAAGGGTAATAATAATCTTTGGCATTTGGCCTGGTATTGAGGAAGAAGCAAGCCCAGAAACATGCATTGCCTCCTACCCAGCCAGGAGCTGGGAGCAAGGAGATGAGGTTATAAAAAACGTGAACAGAAAGCTCCAGTTGAAATTTCAGGGAATATGGAACTTACAGCAAATCTGTAGGAAGCAAAGTTAAACAGAAAAATGTATGAGAGTTTCAAAGCAAAAGAGAGGATGGAGAGGAGAAGCAAAAGGGGTAGAAGCATTTAGGAAAGAACAGATAGGGCAATGGAAAAAGGGGGCAGATTTGGGCAGGGGAGATTCTGGGAGGGACGGATGAAGAACTGAGAAGAACAGAGACTGGGAATCAGAATGAAAGAATGATACAGAAGAAACTGATGTCTAATTTTTTATTACAAGATAAATGCAATTTATTGTCATTGTAGCTTCTTTAATTACCTTTCAACCTTTTTTAAATGATGCCCATATGTTGCAAATAACAGGGGGTTATGAATTTTGTTCTCTCACCTTTCCCATGGTATACATTCCCACTTTAATTACGACATTGACATCAAATGCCTCGCCTAATGTTTTTGCACCAGTGCTCCGTATTTGTGGTGATCTCGCACTTGGGGAAACAAAACCACCTGCTTCTGCAGATCGAAGGCTACTTGTTGTTCTTGTGGATGTCCACCAGATGGCAAACGCAGTATTGTTGTAGCGTTTCCAGGACACCTTCGAATAAGAATTTACCCTAGGGAGAGTGGGGGCTTGTTTAACAACAGATCCTTTACTGCATAGATTAAAAATGGTGATTAAAAATAAGTGACTAGATTCTATGTGGATTTCCTGGGAATAATAAGAAAACAGGAAAATAAAAGATGCAGTTAGAAAATGGTGGTGCTGTCAGGAAGGTACAATGTTCACCCTAGTCGTTGCATATGTCTGTATGAGGAAAACAAATCTCAAGAATCTCTGAGTTAGTATTACTATTTTTTTTCTGTGGATATAAATTTTATAGAGACAATAATGTTTTCTCACGTCTAATCTCTTTGAAATTGTTGTGACTAGACCAGGTCTTAGAATGAAATCCATGGTAAGTAAAACTGTAACTGCCAATGACTTACCTAAAACTAATTTCCTAGCTCATGTGGTTATAAGCATAAGAACAGCAATGAGGCTTGTTAACACTCTTTTCCCTCCAACCTGCCCTCATGATGTCAAGATCGCAATTATAGAGATAAGCACTGATCTTCTTCCCTTACCTCTACGGGATTTACTTACTGTTCTAACCATGTTGGCTCAACGAAACTCCTGTCATTTAGCTGTTGCTACTCGGTTGCGTGCATATACAGCATCAAGAAATGGAGAGTTTCCTGAAAGAAGCTACATCTGTAGAGCATTTGTTATAAACTAATCTAGCTGTATCAGTACACAAGCTTTGTACAGGCAAGGCACATATGTGGCATTGTAAGATCCTGAATGTTCTTAATCACTTAGCTTAATTTTAAATTGCACTGCCCCTTCATATAGCGCACTATCATGATGATTTACTTCTTTAATGGTTTTGTAGGTTGACCTGAATTCTTCTTCCAGCAGAGGAACTGTATATAGGGGTAACAGGGAACATTACAGCCTTTCTCTTCAGCTGGCTGGTTGACTTACAGCTGGCACCAGCTATATTCGTTCAATGGCTCCCAATCAATTATATCCTCTCGTACTCATTTTTCTGACTATCAAGACACAAGTAAAAAGATGAGGCTGTTCCCACTCCAAGTAGATATTAGGGTAGTGTGGAAAAAAAAGCTGGTGCTATATTTGGAGCGTTCCTAATTGCACTGTTCTATTTCCAGCTGCCAAAATCTGCGCTAGAATTTTAATTAAGGGCTAAATTCGTGCAGCAGATCCTAACAACAGGAAACAGTTATGTTATTTAAATAGGCTTTGAAATGATCAGATTTTATCTCCCAAAGCAGCACTCGGATGAATACTAAAGCCGCTTTTGTTCTGCTGGAAAGGGCTGCAATTGCTCAGCAAGCTGACAGAGGTCACCGCGTCTGCTTTGGAAAACCACTAACACCGGGCCAGCCGTCCAGAGGGCAGGCCCCGCCAGCCAAAACCTCCCTTCCTTACACACATTCGCACCCACGCACAGCGGCGAGCACTCCACGCAGCCCCACGCAAAGGGTGGGAGGCGGCAGTCACCCTCAGGCCGGCGGGGGAAGGCTCTTCCGCCACCAAGATGGCGCCCCCGAGGCCTCATACTCGCTCCGGCTCCTCCTCGGTCCCGCGGCGTCCCCTAGCGACCGCAGCGGCCTCTGCAGAGCAGAACGGCGCATGCGCCGATCGACCGACGGGGACGGGAGGATCGGCGCATGC